GAAGTATACATATATCTCGAACATTTCATTTTAACAAATTTTGATTAGGCAATCTTACAGTTACTACTCTTACTCTGTTATCCCTACCATGGAAAAGCTCAGCTATACTCTCCACTAACCATTTGGTTAAAGGCAAATTTTCATCTTTTATTAATACAAGAGTTCCCAACTGAATGTCTTCTTTTAAAAATTTCCACTTTCGAAGCTCTTGTAAACTATTGAGGTAATCAGGTTTTCATAATTTCCAAATTTTCTGTATATACTTAGTCGTTCTTTGCCACTTAGAAAGTCCATTTTCATTTATGTTGGATAAATCTGGCTCAGCAAGAGTTGTAATAGGTCTACCAAAAAGTGACCAGGTCTCAAAAGTTTCAAAATTGTTGTAGTCAGCTGAAATTGGAGTAAGAGGTCTTGAGTTCAATACTCCTTCAATTTCTGTTAAAATAATTAAGAATTCTTCTAAAGTTAAGCACTGATTACCAATAACTCTCTTCAAATGACTTTTGAATGATTTAACCTCGGCCTCCCAAATTCCACCAAAATTTGGTGACTTGGGAGGAATGAATTTTCACTCTGTACCCTCAGTGGTATAAAAATTTGCTAAATTCTCATCTGGTCACTCAACCAAATTTTGCAATTTTTTGAGTTCTACATTAGTACCAATAAAGATTTTAAAATTATGGCTCATTATTCTAGTACATTTTCCCCTTCTAGAGAAAAAACGTTTTAAGCTTGCAATAAATGGTTGGCTAGTTTGGTCTGTCACAAAGTCAAAGTGTATGGCTTTTGTACTCATACATACATATACTACGACATAGATTTTGTTCAAAACTCCCTTATGTTGATTCTTAAACTTTATAGCAAATGGAATGCAGAAATCAACACAGTTACGGTAAATGGGTATGATGGTGTGACCTGCTCTTTGGGTAACTCAGCCATTATTTGTTGGAACTGTGATGGGTTTGTTCTTAAAACATGTCACACATTTGTAGATGATCTTTCTACAATTGTTTCTGCCATTAAGTGGCCATAACCTTTGTCTTATTTGATGTAACAGAGATTGGATCCTATGAAATCTCTGTATGAAAGTACTTAATGAAAATGCTCTAAAATAATAGTAGTTAAATGATACTTACTTGGTAAAACACTTAATTACTTTTGCTTACTTTGTAAATAGGGTGTTTACTATTAGTGGGTAGGTCCGAATAGGACAATCGTGTTTACTATTAGTGGGTAGGTCCAAATAGGACAATCGTCTGCCCACTGTAATTAGTCCCATGTTATCGAGAAATACATTCAATGATGCTAATTTATTTTTGTGGCTTACACACTTACCTCTTCTTAATTGATTTGTTTCTTGTCCAAACTCACTTTTTTTTTTTTTTTTTTTTTTTTTTTTTTTGTGCGTCTAATAAAATATACACCTCGGCGTCCTTTATCTCTTCTAAAGTAAGTACTCTATACCTCCTTACCTTGGGGTTCTTAAGATTATGGATAAACCTCAAACCTAATTACAACACTAATAAGTTTAGTATAATTAGCAGACAAATTTAAAATATCATTAAAGAGGTTTGATTCATTACATGCAATTAAAATTACGTTAGAATCATTATGCAGTTCATTTTCCTTTTTAAGTTCATTTGCACACACACTTCTTCAGTAATCTCGATTGATAAGTCCTGATTAGGAATCTCTGGACGTGTTAGAAAGTCACAACATGACCACTATTTGGAACAGTTCACAAGAAAGTCAGTTCGAACACCACACGTCAGAACATCTGCTGAATTTTCTTTCATTGGACAATAGAACCAGTATGTCGGCTGTATTAACTTCCTAATCTCGTTAACTCTTGGTGATGAAAGATTTTCATTTGGTACTGGTACCTTTAATTCAGCATAGCACTGTTTTAGCATCAGTCCAATAAAATATTGTCCAGGATTTCTTTCGATTGAACAATTTTTTCACTTCAGAACCTAAATGTGCTGCTAGTAATGCACCAAGTAATTCAAGATGATGTAACGTGACTCTTTTCACAGGTGCAACACGACATTTCGATGCAACAAAACTCACAGAAATTTCTTGCTTATGCAATTTTATGTAGACAACAGTACCATACATCCTCCAACCCGGCATCTCAGAAGCTGTGAATCTCTGCAGAATCGGCTTTGGGATTCAAAATAAATCTTGGAGCCACAATTTTACTTAGATAATGACACTCAAAACACCACTTTGCCCACTCTTGAGACATATCTGTAGGTAGTTCATCATCCCATGCCAATTTTTGAACCCAAAGTTCTTGTAGCAAGAATTTCAGGCTAACAGTAAATGGAGTTATTAAACCCAAAAGGATAAAAAATCTTCCCAGCAGTTTTCAAAATGAATTGTTTCGTATTACGCTTATTTTTAAGAAATTTGATCAAACTGTCTATGTCTATACTCAGACTGTCTTCGTTAGTATCCAAAACATTTCTAAGATCTTAAGTGTCTCGGTTGAGTCATTGCCTTTATTTGGAGGAATCTCAAACTCTTTTTCTTCCCATTTTTTCATCAGCTCAGGATCATTGGATACCCATTTATGCAAGTTCATATTTGCTTCACTCATAATTTGTTTAGCTTTACGCAATAACCTTAGAGCCTCCTCTACACTGTCTTGTCCTGTAATAAACTCATCAACGTAAACACAAGAATTCAATATTTCAAATACATCTGGCTGCTCATCTCGATATTTTTGTATGTGTTATTTAATTGTTGCAGCCAACAAGAATGGACTTGGACTTCATTCCAAAATTTATGTGCTTGAATCTGTATGTCGCTAGTTTTAGATCATTTAATAGTGTGCTTTCTACAAACAGGAATTGCACTGCATCTTGATCCTTTTTTGCCAAAGCAATCTGCAAAAATGCTTTTTCCACATCTGCTGAAATTGCAACTTTATTTAATCGGAAATTAATTAGCAGATGGAACATGTTAGGATTCAAATTTGTCCCTGTCCATAGACAATCAATTAGTGATAACTGCTCAAACTCATGTGAACTGCCATCAAACACTATTATAGTTTTTGTTGAAGCACTGGTTTCTCTAAATACTGGTTGGTGTGGTAGGTAGAAGACTGGTTTACCGACAGGTATACTTTCTCAATAATACCTTGCTTGAGATAATGATATAATATTTCATTATATGTAGAAAACAGTGTTTTGTTATAATTCATTTGCTTTACAAGTGTTTTTAATCTATTTTCTGCTACTCAGTAATAATCAGCTAATTCACTCCAGTCCTTTTTCCAAGGTAATGTATCCTCGTAACGACCAGCTTTTAAACAAACTGTCGTATTAAATGTTTCCAATGCTTTGTCTCCCACATGACAATAAGGATCATCTTTAATTCCTAATGATTCTAGTTTGAAAAACATTTTCAATTCACTCTCTGAATTATCATTTATTAACCCACAATACAGTAAAGTATTTCACCATAAATCATTTGTATTTCCACTAACTGTATATCCAAACACACTATTTTGTAATATCAAACCTGTGTGAGGAACATAGATTTTACCATCTCGTAACATATCATAGAAAACTTCCGCGCCTAGCAACAGGTTTTTTTTCTCTGGTTTACAAAATTCCAGATCCGCTAAATTTACCTTCTCAGCAATCATAAGGGATTCAATCAATCGATTAATTTTGAGGGAGTTAAACCTGCTATTTTTGGAATTACCAAAAACTCTAGTTTCCTTTTATAGGTTTGTTCCTGATTACAAACTGTGCAAATTAAAACAACAAAAACATAAATTCTGTTTTTTCACAAATTCTATTCTTTCTTTTACATTGAAGTTTTGAAATTTAGGACAATTAAAAAGCTTGTAATTGCTCAAATTACATAATCTACACGAATTCTGTGTTATGTTTTTCATTTGCATTAGAATAATCTAATAGTTGCCACATGTTCTATTTAAAACGGTAATAAATCTAAAACCATATATATAAAAGCAATCAAACAAATAAAAAGAAACTGTTTCTCACAGACGTTCAGCGCCGCTTCTGATGCGCATGCGCTGTTAGTCAACATTCTCCTTTGTTGGAGACAGACTGATGCTAGTATTTTTGCTAATACAAAACACTTACTGTCAGACTCCCATCTGATTGCTCTTTAAACTTCCAAAGCATAATAGATTCTCCCTGTTTTCTTCCTCTTCTTCGCATAAAACTTGGCCCCTGAATCAAAATCTTAAGTGGTATCTTCACTTTCCATTTTCACAGTGACTGCTGAAGAACTGATGGACAAAACCAACAAGTCATGGTTACAAGAGACAAGAATGAACATGAATAAGCCTAATAAAGGAAGATGGACATCAATTTTTCTTCCCTTTTAGTGCATGGACAAAAATATTTTTTTCACCCGTACACAGAATCTTTCCTCAGTTACAGTTACAGACAAGAATATTTTTCCTCCGGAAATGATTTATAATATAGAAGCTATTCCTATTGCTTGCTAGATGGCATTATTACTTCAGTTTTAACAAAAAAATGAACATAAATTGTTTTCCCCCCCTCAAGCCTTCATATGTGTTTTAGTTTAATTTTAATTTTTTTATTATTTTTTATTTTGCATTGCTTTTTGCATTTTAAAATTATATAGCACATTCGCAAGCATTTTTATGAAATTACTTTAAACAATGGTAAATACCCAATGAATGTATGCTTATCACTACCGGGCCAATCCTTATGAAGTGGCATGGAAAAGAATGTTATGTTATTCATGTATTATCATGGTATATGTTAATTCATGTATTATCAGTTGAAATAACCTGTATCTACTGATTATTTTCATTGTATGGGTTTTATTTTTTACTAAGTTGGTCATATTTGTTTTGCATGGTTTTTCCTCTTTTGTTTGGGGTGGGAGGTCTAAACATTAGTGAAAACTGAAATATCTCATTTGCTCTTTTAGTTATACATGTGTATAAATCTTTGAAATTAAATCTATCTTTTTATATTTCATAGGATTTATGCTTAGTTTTTAGAGAACCTCCGACAGACATAGAGCATACTGCTGAAAAACCAAATCAACGTACATTAGCTTTACAATCCCTAGTTGAAGATTTTGTAAATGCTTGCTGCTTCCACTTGTGGACATGTTTATTGTGATCCTCAGATTTTAACACCACTATAAATCTAGCTGTAAACTATGTTAAAAAATGTACATACAAATGTAAGTATAGTGTTTTCTGTGTGTGTGTTTGTACACACACACACATACACTACACATGTGAATATATATATATATAATTTTATCAATAATTTAATAGTCAAGAATGTTTCTTAAAAATTTCACAAAATAGTATAATATTTTTTTCCCTAATTTTTTAAAAATTAATCGTTTGTTGTATATATAATTAAAAATGAAATAAAATGAAGTAAACAGAATTATTCTAAAACAAAATAGGAAAGTATAAATCGAAACGATGAATTCTAAACAAGAAAAAAGAAACTAAAGCAAAAGTAGATGAATATATAAAATGAAACAAAATTAATTAAATAAAATTCCCATGAAATAAAAGAAAAGTTGATAACTCTTTGGTATTTTGCAAGATTTTGCAAGTGTTACAATAAAATTTTAAAAATAATGTCTTAAGTTTCTTTGAAAACTTCTAATACTTTAAAGTTTTTTTGTAATTTTTTAATTTAAATAAATAATTGCTTTATTTTACAATTCATCCAGGTATAAATTCAAGAGCATGGATTTGCTGATAATTCTTTCAGTTGCTCTTTGACAAATACCAAAAAGTTATTTTTAGTCCAATAGCATTTGTCCCTGAAGGACTATTGTTTTTGTTTTGCATTGAAAATTTTAAAAGGCTGTATCACTTTTCAAATCATTGCCATGGTACCTAGAGCCATCCAATCTAAAGATATGCTCATTTTAAAATTATTTTGCGACATTGCTGTTGAACTGCATTTTATGGTTTAGTTGCAAAGAAGATGATATTTAATAAATAAAGGTAACACACAAAACTTTAGATTAGAAAGATTAGAAACTGCATAAAAAATCAATTAAAAGTATTTTAATTGATTTTTTATGCAGTTTCTAATCTGTTTATTTGTATACGCATTAACTCTGTTAAGATTTCTCTCTACATATCAATTAAAAGTAACTTAGGCACTTCTTTGTATAATAATTGTACTTTAAAATTTATTGCTATAAATTTCACTTTAATGCTCAGATTGTATGTACAGAAATGTATAGATATATTCCTACTGCTTTATATTGCTGTTATACTATTTTCAAAGGTACTCATGGAATAATAATAAAGTTCTAAAATTTAGTGATATTGAATTTTGTATAAATATATATTAACTTTTTTTAACTAATATTAATGAATTATTGTTTCATTTGCACCATTCATGTATTGTCTGTTAAATTTCCTTCTTGTGCTAAAATTTCTGAAACTAAAAATTATTTTTCAATTGGTTAATTTTAAAAGAAAACAATAATTCATATACTATTATCTTTAGATTATAAAGAATTAACTTTAAGTTTTCTTTAAAACAAGAGTGTAAAAATTTTGAGAATTCTGTACCATATGTATTTATTGTCATGTAGTATTTATTGCTTAGTTCCTTGTTTAAAAAATTTGAAAATCTCAAATAAGCTTTTGTATTTTTAATAAACAAAAATAATAAAAGAAATATGCTAATTCTTGATTCTTTTTTCCCATCACATTATTCACAGTCATTATTCAAAGAATGTATGATGAAAAATAGATTTAAATTCACTTTATTTCTATGCCTCACTAAAAACTGAAAACAGAACTCCAGACTGTCTTCTTCATATACATTATTTTCCAGCATTACAAATTTTAGCAGTTTTCCACTACTATGATTGATAATTATAGCAGTGAAAAACTGCTGTTATGGTGCTTTTAAAATTATTAATCACCTTTTGATCACAGAAATTTCAAAAGTTATTTGAGAACTCTTAAGTAAATGCACTTTCTAATTAACTAGACAATAATTATAGTCTATATAAAATAATTATAGTCTTTCTGGTTTAACTGTTTGACTGCTATGCAGCGCAAAAGCGCTGCATTCATATGTCTCGAAAAGCGCAATGCAGTTAGTTATTTTAGAATGCACTCGTGTTACAAAGTACACGTAAGGTCAGACTATGCATATTCACACCCACGGAGCAACAAAGACACACTGAAACTCACAGTGCAGAAGTGCTGCGTCGCAGTTTTCGAGACAAATGAATGCAGCGCTTTTGCACCACGTAGCAGTCAAACGATTAAATATGAATGTTTTTACACCTTACCTAATCATTCAGATTTTTTTCCCTCAAAATTGCAGCATATAAGGTCCCTCAGTTGGTTCTAGCATTTTTTTTTTTTTTTTTTTTTTTTTTTTTTTTTTTTTTTTTGTTTATGGCAGATTTATTTGTGATAGGAATCATTGATCTAAAAAAATATGCATCCTTCTTCAAATAACATAATTTCAATTTCATGAATAGTCATGATTTAATTTACTTGTTTATTAATTATTCCTTATCTGTAATTGTCACATTTTTATTTTTGATCCAGTGAAAAGGTAATAAAACCAAATTAAAATGCAATAAATATTAATATTGCTCTTCTTGAAATAAAAAAACTTGAAAACTGTTATTATTGTTATCATTATGCAGAAGAAATATATATATGCCTACAAAAATGACATTCATGGAGCAGGAAGAATTGCCAAATAAAATGTAATTTTTATAAATAGCAGTTTTTCTGTTATCAATTCCTGCAGTAAAATTTCCTGTAACTGGCATCCAGTTAACAGATAATACAAAAATAACAACGCTTTTGAAGGTCTAAATTTAAATCTGAAATTTACGCCTGTGAGATAAAAAAAATATACATAAGGGATTAACAATCTGAAGACTTAAATGTGGAAAGCTATGTTATGCTTGTCCTCACAACATAACAAGTCTTCGATCTGAAAAAGTGTTTCTAGAACTAAAAAAGGAAACAAATAGCAGACCATAAATTGTAAGTTTTAATAGGAATTACTAACTAAATGTTGAACTACATCTTTAAAACAACAGAATGGCACAACATGATCTCTTAATGAGAACAGCACTCACTGTTGCCCGAGCTTAAACTAAATTATGCATTATTATCATAATTTTTTTACTTACTTTAACAGAATCAAGCAATTATCTAGAATGTCAAAAGGGCAGGGTTTGTACGGTCCTTAAAAGTCCTTAGATTTTTTTTAATCGATTTTTCGTCCTTAAAAGTCTTTAATTTTGGACAAAATCAGCATAAGGTCCTTAATTTAAATTATCTGAAATTTCTGTCTGTTTTTAAGACTGCCATTTTGAGTGTGAATTAGCATTTTGGAGGAATATTTTTGGCGATTCACTGACATATATGATTATCTTTTGAATGGGTTCATGAATTATAATTTATTTCTAATATAAATGAGGGATACTCGAGTTTCTAAGCAGGAAGTGAAACATAAGCATTTCGAAATTCATTTTTTCCTATAAAGAGCTCTTGAACAAATTTTCGGTTTGGGAATGTGATCTCTTTTATTAAACGGTTCTAAATTTGGCGACTTATCAATATTTTGGCGATTTTAAGATCAGTTTCTATAGAAAATTTTTAATTCCGAGATCTGAAAATTTTTCGACCATTTTTTTAAAAAAACATCGTAACATTGATAAATTTCATTAAAATAATGGTAATATATTGAAATTATATTTAAAAAATAACATTAAAATAAAGCATTTTGATTTTTCGCTGTCATATTATAAAGTTTCATTTTGCCAACTTATTATACAATATTTTGAATCTGAAAAATAAATAAGGTATAATGCTATAAAGCACAATTTACGAAACAGCTCTTAGCAAAAGCAAAATTAGCTATGTAATTAATTAAAAATGTCTTCTTTTTAATTTTTTCATAGTAAGAGTTTTTCCCATGTAATTGTCTCAGAATATGCATCAGTTTTCTCTATAAAATTAATTTTACACTTTTTCCCTCCTTTTTTTTTTCCAAAATATTTTTGGCTTTTTGCTGTTACAGAATTGGTAGGATAATTACTTCTTTAGGATTTTAGACATTGCAGTTTGGAAGGATTTGACGGTAAGATTGAAAGACCCGCGATTCTAGAAATATGTGACAACATGAAAAATGTCTCCATGGTATCAACACGTAAATTTTACAGAAAATTTGCAATAAATTTCTTACTTTTTGGAGAATGTCTGGAAGAACAATGAAACATAATATTTGAATGTTTTACTTTTGATACTAGAATCTTTTAACATGTTTATCTTCCCTTTATTTTCTCTACTTTTCACTAGACTCAAGCATGGAAAATATCAAAAGTACTTCTAATCTTATCACATGGGCAGGCATTATAGAAAGGAATTTTTTTATTAATAAAGAAATTGAATGCTTACAATTTAAAAGATTCATCTAATATGTCTTAATGCATCATACACATAGCTGGCACTAGGCATTTTCCCACCTGATGCAATCTCTGTTGATCCTAAATTCTGCTGCCTAGTGCCTTTCTAAATTCTGCTTCCAATGCCTGCTCTAAATTCTAAAAGTTTTACCATTTCTAGATTTTGTTGTTCGGTGTGTCACTAAATTCTAAAAACTCTGCCACATCAGTTCTGTAACCCGCCTTTACATATATATTTCATTTTTCTTCTAAATGTTCATATTACTAAAGAAATAAGATTAGCTGCTTTTTCTATGCATTCTAAATGCATTTAGTGTTTTTTAGAATAACAGAAATCCTTAATTAAATCCAAAAATTCTAAAATGAAAAAGAAACGTGTTGAAGAAACTGAATACATAAAGAAAATTATTCTTCAAAGATATTTGCAGTTATTATTATTATGTAAATTACTCAATTGTTTATGATTTCATTTCAGCATTTACTGTAATTTCCCATGTCTATTTCCTCATGTGATAGAGTTACTGAGCCGGATTAAATTTAAATTAAATTGTATAATCTTTGACCACTACTCCACATTTTTAGTTTGAATTTGACTGTTCTTGTTTAATTACGCCACCGTGAGCTGTAATTGATTTTGTTAGCATCAGAATATGCCTTTATGTTCTAATTTCTTTTTAAATAAGAGGATTATTTAAACCTTTTATGTTACTTTATAGTTACTTTTAGACATAGCGATAATTTGTTTCATGTCTATCAGAGGTTTTGGACTATTTAACTTTTACCAAATTAAGTAAACACTCGTAGGTAGGTACATTATGGAGAGGTTGACAAGTTAGGAGATAAAGCACGCAGAAACTAGCGAGAGCATTGGTTTGCATATTAAGGCAAATCTCTAATTGTTAGAAAAGATGCTTAAAGAGAAGGAAATCGATATAAACTAGCCAAAATGTTTGGAAAGGCTTCAAATTAAAATTACGGATAAATATTTTGTTGAGTGTTGTTGTTGCAAAACATAAATGTTTTGTAGCTTTTAATGTATAATTATCCTAATATCGTTTAAAAATCAATGCCATAAATTTCATGTATTTTAAACTGTGAAGTTTTATTAGATTTTGATTTTGATAGGGTTTTTTTAACAAATATTGTTAAAAATAAAATTTAATAGTTGCCATGTAAATCCATAATGACTAAGGTTATCAAACTACCTAATTTAACTATAACTAACTGCTTACCCTTAAAAACTATCTCTACATCTTAAAGCGAGTTATTGCCTTTCATTAATACTAGTTAATTTAGTTTGATTTTCTGCATTGTTTATCATGGCTTCATCCATTAATCTTTTCACTAAATTACACCTGAAACCGCAAAAATTCCTGAATCATCTTGACTTTTTACTTAAGTGTAAATGTAAAAAATTGATCCCCAATTTCATTCAAATCAAATCTAATCAA